GAGACGATGGCGAAGCAACGGACATTGCTAAGCAATGATAGGACCACCGAGATTATACCGTACTATTACTCACGCAACTTTTCTTGAACGATGACCTTCATCCCCCTCCCTTGTGCAATAAAGAGTTGAAGTCAAAAGCTCGCAGCGGGCAGTGATGACAACCTTCCATGCATTAAAACTTCGTTGGCGCGAATCAAAAGCTAGTCAAAGCCAGTTGCTTTCATAGTGCAGAAACCCTGTTCAGATTTATTGTCAATATCGAAAGAAATAGCTGAGTCAGGTGCAGGTCCTTCAAGGGAGTCACCTAAAACTTCCGCAAAAGTGAAGCACAAGATGCAGTTTTGACTTTCATTTCTTGGACGTTGGCATTACTTAAAATACTCTAGTGGCCGACTTTGTTACTAATACCCCCACTCCACCCGAAATCGTCAATCCATCGTTCAAGAAAAGTTGCCCGAGTAATACTAACATTATCCCGATTGGTATTCAACAGAGAATTCTAGAGAGTACCAGCTCCGATCATTAGTTTTCCGTTGTTTCGTACAAGAATACCTGGCTAACACCGGAACAGTAATTCCCGAATGGGCGACAGACCGCAAGCAATCTTTCTTTTGTCATGCACATCCCCTCTCCTCTTAAACGCTCACTTACAAGCACATCACTACCACACTTAAACTCGGGAGCTTAAAACTTCCGGGTAGGGCTCTACCCTGTTGTGGGAGAGGGAAGTCGTGGTAGAGGAAAATCTCGCACGTGGACGATTAGGACGGCGCGGTATCTCTCCATCCTGCGGGAGAGGACCATCTCCGCTGCACTACCCCTTCCATGCACTACACTTTCCAGAGAAATAATCATAGCAGTTAGTGCTCGAAAAGCCTTAAATATTAAATTAATGAACTGAGATATTTCACTTCCTTTTTTAGAAGAAATGTGAAGTAAACTATCAACGAAATGGTAAAACTATGATCTGCAATTACAAGGAAATAAACCTCTCTTTCAACGTGCATTATTTCTGTCTCTGCGGCAGCCGCCCTAGCAACTCGTGGTAACATTACAGCCCCCCCCCCTCCCGCTGACCGTGCCTCCGCCTCCGCCGCCTTCGCCAGCGCCCTCAACGCGGTGGCGGGCGCCGCCACCGCCGCCGCCGGGAAAATCAATTTCCTCGTTGTGCATTTCGCAGCTTAAGACGCATTTCGCATTCAAAACGGGGCTCTGCGAGTTCCGCTCCGGCATTGTGCGCGAAACAAAAGAAGCACAGGCGGCTTTTTTTGTAATGATAAGGCAAGAAACAAGAGAGAGGGCGTTTGAATAGAGCTGCTGGAATTATCAAGTTACAGAGCGGCAGCCGTCGCCGTCGTCGTCACTGTCGCCGCCGCCGCCGCTTTGCAGACTCCTCGGCGGAGAGGCAGTGCAAGTCGGATCGACGCGCCTCCGGAAATCTCGCTGAGGAACTGCTCCGGGCGTCGGCTGCCAGCTGCGGATTACGGAAGGGAGGACACATGGGGTTGCGTTCAGCGGCAGACGCAGAGCGGGACGGGTTCATTTTTGTGGAGCAGAGCAGTGATGGTTTTGCCGGGGGAACAGTTGATTCCAGCTGCTGAGGTTTGTTAGGCGCTGTGAGATATCCGTAGTTGAAACTGGAGTTGAAATGCGGTATAAATCCTGATTAAGAAAGTCAAAAGGTCTCCGTGGGAATTGAGATTTGGATTTATGACGCGTGGAAGGATCCTAGCAGATTTTGCTGGTAGATATGTAATAAAATTGACTAGACTAATGCTAAAGAGTCCGTTTTACACAAGTATTAATTGTGTGAATACTTGTTTATAAGAGAGATGTATAGAGTGAATGCTGAAGTAAGTAATTTTATCCATTAATCTATTTTCATAAAATTAGTAAATAAACTTTGTTTTTTATTACGATTTTATGAATGTATTGGTGGATAGCCGCCTTGTTGTGGCACGACACCATTTAAGGTGTAGGCACGGACGTACTAATTAGAAAAATTCAATCGGTATGTGACAAGGTGGAATAAAAGAAACAAAATGTAGTCAGAATAGAAACTATGTTTCTAGGACTTAAACAAAACCAACAACACATTTCACATGACATGAGGCTGCAAAGTTTTCTTTCAATTTCTGCTCGCATGGGAAATTAGTAACACGGAATATTGATGTTTTTAGGGGATAATTACTAATGAAAAATATTTATACAAACATTTTTGATGCTTAGAATATTTCTTTACTCAAGTGTTTACTTTAAAGTTTTGCCATAATGAGAATCTAACACATATGGCTACAATGTAAAATGGTAATGTGTTGGAAAATAAACCGGATTTCAAACAAAGGGGTAAGTGTACCGTTTTTGCTAACGAGCACTATAAAGAATATAATGTGTACATGCACGTGAATGTGGATTAATGAGTATGGATACTCTTTGCATGCTCCAGGGATAAGTCGATAATTCGCACGGTGGCATTACGCGAGAAAATTTAAATTTAATTGTGCATGTGTGAGAACGATTTAAATACGAACACGCATGGTCACACCTTTTTATCAAATTCAACGCGCCCCCGGCGTGATTCTCCAGCTCTCTCTCGGGGATAGTAACCGTTTTCATTTATTACGTTTTTATTTAATAAATTACTTATTTTTTAGTATTTTATTAGTGATTTTATGATTTTGGTTTATGTGGTGACATCTGAGAAGATCAATGTACTTCGGATAAATTGAAAAAAATGTGCAGATTGCATGATTGCAAGAATAGACAGAAGTTGCAAGAATCTTTCAGATTCAATTTCTGTTACAAAAGCGCTAGCTCTTGCTTGAGCTTGGGTATTCCTATTGATATAGAAATTTTAAATATAACCTAAATATCATTAGGTTTTAGTAGCGCAGAATGGTGAGGAAAAAGAGTTAATGTTTAGGAATTTTTTTGAAGAAAAGTGAAGTGAAGACAAAATATGGAAAATATATTTTTTCTATGACCATTTAACAGTGTATGTATTCCTGCTGTATTTGTAGTCGAAGAAAGACATCTATTTTACACCCCGTGGATCCCAACTTGAAATTCACGGCCGGTTAACCAGTCACATTCCTAGAATTTTTGGAATTCAGGAGCAGAATTATATTATCTTTGCAAACCGCACTTATTTTGAACCATGATAGGAAAGTGAAATTTTGCAGTTTCTTATATTATCCGTTTTCTTAAATCCTTGTCTTGATTGATAGGAGAAAAGTGAGAATTTGGTTATTTCGGTGGCAGTAATATCATTTCAAATGAGCCTCTTAAAGCTAGTATCTATTTCACGCTAGCAAACATTTCTGGTTATCAGATTTTGCCAACAACGCTTGTTGATGTCATTTTTTCTTAATTAAACTAATGTTGATATAGGAGTGTTGATTCCGGGACTAAATCACGTGCACATATAATAGGTAACGTATACATTATTGTTGTCATTTTTTTCGCAACATTTCGCACTGATGAAATATGTATGTCACCTGAAATTCTGGAAATAGAGAATTTGATATCTCTATAGTTATTGCCATTTTCCCAGTATATGTTGCTGTGTGACGATGAGAAAATTAACTTTTCTGGTTGAGAAGACGTGGGCCTGGGTGCTAACCACACGTACCCCCTTAACCCATGGTCGCGAGGCAGGGACGTCGCCAGTGGGCCTGAGCCCATTCACGGGCTGTCGCGCCGAGTACATTCATGCATACATAGTTATTGCCAGAAAAATAAAGAAATTATTATTAGGTGACATTAAGTGAAAAGGGACTGTTGTAGTATATTATCTTAGCGCGAACGTTTTTTGGGGGGGGCTTAAAAACTTTCTCAAAAGTAGACACCCTCTCGTTTACGAAAAATATGTTCAATGCGTGCGGACATTACGTACACGTAGTAAAGTAAAATTAGAAGCTTCCTCTCAATTGCATACTTTTCTTAACAGAAATTGTAAAGGCTGCCGATGTAAAAGATCTAAAACGTTTTCTCCAGAAGAAATGAATTCATCACAGAAAAACCTTGTTGATGTGTACCTTGCAACAAAGTAAATAAATAAAAATATTATTTAGACACGATTAGATTTTGCTCTATTGTTTTGGAATTTTAGGATCAAAATAATACGACCCTAAAAGTTACTCGAAATGAAAAACAAGACAGACACACTAACCTCTCCTCGAAAGAAAAACGCACGATGTGTCAGAATGGGAGTGTATCTTGAATGTCACTGTAAGAAAACCTCTTCAAAAATTTTCCCAGAAATGAAAATTTACAATATCGCAGAAATAAATTATCTGTATATTAAAGTATCAAAGTAGATGTAAATAGACAATAACTACGGCTGCACCAGGTACTTGGACTGTGCACAAAAGAAAATTATTTGTCGGTGAGAAAAAATTCAAATAACCCCAAAACAAGTTTAATTACAGAAAAACGCAAAGCTGTTAATTTATATTTCTTTTTACTTTGATGTGGCAATTGTAGTGTTGAGTATTTTGGTCGCAGACCAGGGGCTCTGACATAGAAATAAAAAGTTGTTCAACTATGTAAATGAAATCCTTTACGATAATCCACGTGAGTGTTTTCTGTCATTATTTTCCATAATGGCGGCGGTGGTCGCTTGTATTGTACGGTCTCCAAATGTGCTGAATGTGCAAACCGGTTCGTTACCTTGTTATTTAAACTCCACATCCTTCTCTATCGAAAAACCGCAGTCCTTCGCCACCTAAAACGAAATTCAGCAGCGAACTCACCCGCGAGCGCAGCGCCCGCGTCGGTACTGTATTTATGAAGCCGAGCGGGCCCCGACGTGGGACGGCCCCTCCGAGCGCTCGGGGCGGCGTTCCCCAGGGTTGCGATCGGGGGCTAATTCCGGCCTCCGCGTAAACACTCGGGCTCTGTGCCGCGCGTGGGCAGGGGGGCGCGAGGGGGGCGGGGGCCCGGCCAAGTGCGCAACGCGGAAGGGGGGAGGATACAAGATGCACAGAACCAATTACCTAATGGATAGCCGTTGTCGAGCCCGTTGGATGGTACTCGACCCGCACACGTGCGTTTCATTAAAGGCCGCTTTCGTATCTCGTTTTCTGCCCCGGCGCCGAGCGCCTGACACCCGCCCTTCATTTAATTCATTTGATCCGGCCGGCCGACCCACCCGCTCGCCTGCTCTATCGCCCGGTTGGGAGGCGCTCGGCTCAGAGCTCGTTGCGGAGCCCGATTTGATGGGCTTCTGGAGGCCCGTGTGTTACTTTGCCGGTGTATTACTTCCAATGTATGTGGTACATAGAATGTTGTAATCGAGTGAACAGTGTTATGAATCAAATTTATACTGGGGTGCGTGAAAGATTTTTTTCATCCTTTTTTTATTCATTTTCTTGAACCACCATAGTCTCTACATTTCCTTCCCTTTCAGATACTCCCATGAACATTGATGTTCCTCCTTTCATGAAAAGTCTTTTACTTTTTAAAAGCAATTACAAGGAGACTTTGTGTTATTGTCACTAGCAACACGCAAGTCATTAAAATGTAATACGTGTTATTACTAATTCTTTATTGAGAAATTCACTCCTTTACAATTCTGCCTAAATGCTCGTTTGTCTCTCAGAACTAACTACAAACCCACACTTTCCAACACGTATTAATGGCACAGCTTCACTGATAACTGCTTAATGTAGACATGTATTACTTAACCCAAAATGAAGTGTAAAAATATTATTTCATTTGTTATTTGATTCGGTTCTTTTAAACAACAATTTATTTGTATTCAGTTCTCGCGAGGTGAGTCTTCAACATATACAATGCAAATGCGGTATTCAACTTTATGATTTGTTTTGGCGTTCATACATTTTGAGCTCAAACTACAAATGCTTACTCTTTGCATCCAAAATACAAAATTTCAGAAGTTTTAATAACAAGTTATAATTACAATTGTACGCTGCCTTCCGTAAACCGATGCTGTCCTTCAGCTCAGCAAAATCAGTCAGAGCAATCAACAATCTCCAATAGTTTTTCTTCACCTCAAACAGCCATCGAACTTTGTTTGCACCGGACAAATCGCTTTCAAACGATCTAACAAGTTAAATACGAATGTAGGTGTTGTGGTAGGATATCTTTGGCATTTTTAAAATAATTAAAGATGTCATTGCCAACAAATTACAAGCGTACTCTATGAGCCTGTTGTAAATACAGACGAAGAGATGCATACCATTGCAGTATTTTAATAAAATGTTTACTTTATGTCACGGCCAGAGAGAAATGTACGATGAATTTCCAATCATTTTTGTTGGGTTTATGATATGGTATGTAAAATGTAATGGAAAATACTTTCCATTCAAATTCACTAATCAGCATTAAACCTCGAAAACTGACACCTGCATTTGATGCAAAATTTATAGAAATATTTCAGTTGTGAGAAAAAATAGGCTTTATGAAGGATAGAACGGAAATATTATCCGAGGACACATTGGGCAGTGAATATAAGTGTATGATAGAAAACCACTGTTTGTAATAAGTAAATATATCGTAAATTTGTTTGCGGTTTTTACCCGTATTACTCTATAACTGTTAGAATATCTTTCACAAGAGATAAAATGGACATTTTGAGGCAAAATTTGCATGAGAGACAGGTTTAGTGGTTTCAAACATTATAAATTTGTGAATTCAATTTAAATTCATGAAAATAATTAGAACCTTTTCAATTTGTTGGATGCGTGAATTATAGCTGCCGGTAAATCTTTATTTACGCAGTACAACCTTGAACGCTATGCATTACTCTAACATTTTCCAACGATCCCCCCCCCCCGCCGTGCTAGTCACAAATTACGACAAGCTCTAGCCTCACGAATTCAAACACGGTGCAACCTTGTTTGTTATTACCCTTTAGCGCACATTCACGTTCGATAAACCTCATGTTTTATTTAAGAGCGTACATGGTCTTACAAGCCATAAATCGCTTTGTTTCTCGGCTTGTCCTATAGAAGTCCATATAAATCACCTCTTCCTCTCTCCCTCTCCTGACCTCTTTCAGCGCAGTACGAACTATTTTCCAGAAATCCGTTCCGCCTCAGCTCCCACTTCCCCCTCCTTCTCTTCCCCGCCGCCTCTCCTCAAGGTGGCGAACAGTTGCCGGCGGTGGCGGCGCGGCCTCCTCTCGGCGTCTTCCAAGGCCTCCTTCCCACGGCTTCTCTTTCGTCTCGGAAGGCGCGGCGCGGCGATGTTTGTGTGTTTTTCGCCGGTCCGAGCGGCGGCCGACAAGGCGCAGTGGTGCGGGCAATTAGCCCCGGAAGCTGCCCTCACGTGACCCGCGTGCGCGCCCTCCCGCGAGAATTAGCCGCTCACGTGCGTCCGGAGCACCCGTTGCCTGCCACAGTGGGCGGGAGGCGGCTGCAGCCTGTCGCTACCAGGGACATGGAACTACCCATCAAATGCGGAGGCAAAGCTAGAGGATGCTTCTGTAGGAGGTGCTATTGTCGTCAGGTACAGGTGCAGGTTAGGCGCGCCAACTTACGCGCATAAAAATGTCTAAATTGTGAGAAATGTGAAAAGTGTCTCCGAAATGTTCAGTTATTCATAATATATACAAATGAAAAACAGCTGAAGAAAGCGCGAACATTTGCGCGTATCCTCTGTAAAATTCGCGCCTGCTCGAGTCTCGCAAGCCCACGCAGCAGCCACGCACGTTTCACGTCTCGTTGGCAGCAGTTCGTGTTTTAGTTCCATCAAGAAGGTTCTAGAGAAGAGAGGGCCACTGTACTGGTCTCCACCTTAGTATATGAAGGGCTGTGGTCAATAACATGGTAATCCACAAATTACAAATGAAAATAATAGATATCAATAATGTCTTAGAAATCTCTCGTACGTAGATAGTTTCCTTCTTGGGATATGTTTCCGAAGAGAATGAAGACAAGTGGCTCTTAAACAACATTTTAAACAAAGTTAAATTTTTGCTTTGTTTATTATTGACTGTAGGATTGCTGTTGATGCAAAACGAGTCTCATGTGGGTTACCATGTTATTGCCCACAACCCTTCAAATGGGAGTTGAAAGGCCCTGATCCTTAATTTCTACATCACGAGAGGAGCACTATATTGGGGGAAATTGCCTTGTTCTCGGTGAGGTCAAAAAAGAATCTGTAACCGGTAGTTGCAGGTACTACTCTGGCAGTAACGTAGATTTTCTCGGAGAAATCAACGGACACTATCCGCCACAGCATCCGAGTTGGAAAAATCTAACCATGCGGTGGTATTGTCCGGCACGACCACGAAATTCCTCAGCACTAGGACTCCAATATAAGACACCTCGGATTAGGAAACTATTATACATTGAACACATATTTCTGTACTCATGACTATATTCGGATTGTTTATTGCATCCTCAAACCCAGTTTCCACATTTACATATTTCATCGTTGCATTCTAGAACATTAAACAGCAAAATGAATATTGCAGTAACATGATCTTTTGGTGTGAAAGTCGAAATTATAAGTGAAATATAGAGAATATGTCGCAAGGGAATTTCGTTTAAAAAAAAGAATGCAAACGGTTAGTAGTGCAAAGAGTCTGTGCACCCTTCATATTCCCTCTACACGTGCATGTCGACCCACTGTACCGCAGGGCTGGCGTGAAAGGACAGCGAGGCGTGCCGGGTAGAGGCAGTGGCTGGGCGCGTAGAATTAAGACATAGGTGGGCGGAATTGAAAACAAACTGTGCAACAGGGTGCGATGTCGAGTGCAGAGAGCCAGACGAGGTGGTGGGCGGATGGAAGGGGCAAAGTGGAAGAGAAAAGTCGGCACTCGGCTGCGAGTCTTTTGCCGTCGCCAGTGGACCATACGCAGGGACAGGTTGGAATTCGCTAAATTTAAATTTATCTTCTAACAAAACCCAATTTAATTTTTGAATTAAGATAAGTGAAACGTTTTTAGTCTTCATTGCTGGGCAATGATCTCAATGTTTGCTGATTTACTACTTTTACTATATGAAGAATGATTGGCTATAAACACTCAGTGGTAGAATTGCCTTTGAATCAACAGTATCTCTGACCGGAAAGACTTAATGAATTCGAGTTTCGACGATGAAGGACGTTCAGCACAAATTAGATAGCTAGATTGAATTGAACTTATGTCTGGAGGAGAATTATAGGGTTCGTCTTTTCTGCCCGGTAGTTTTGTGTGGTTTGTCCGATCAATAGTAGAAGAATGTAGTACCTTAATAAACGGGTCCCAGACTGCGCGCGATCCAAATTTCCTCATCTTCGTCCTCTTCTCTTCCCTTACTTGTATGTACTACACACTACATGCACAACAGAACTGCACTCTTGTATGCAGGGAGACCAGTCGTAAGCTTACGACTTATCCCGGCTGGGGCCGCGTCCCACTGCAGGAAAATGCCTCGAGCTGGGAAGAAAATAAAATGGGGGAGAGGGAGGAGGGCTTAGTGAACCGCGATTACGTTCAGTGAAGCGAACAAGGCCAGGCAACAAGGGGATTTGACATCAGAGAGTGAAAGTGGATTGATAGAAGAAGGGTAAAAAAATCTGTCAGGAAATGGCGAGGAACGACAAACTGGACAGAATAAGTAAATATAATGAAGCAAATATTCGTGGAAAAGTGCATAATACATTTGCTATGATTAAAAAAAAGTCGGTTTTGGAGAATATTTAAGATGGAATGGAGTACAATAAAAGAGAATGAGGTTAGAATGATATGGAGAGAGCGGAATGCGGATAAGAAGAGAATATGACGACTTGTGGATGATGAAGAAAGAATGAGGTATTAGGCTGGCTGAAGAACAAACAAGGATTTATTAAGTTGTTTTTTTTGTTTCCGGGTGCGTCTACTTCCATAGTCTTTAGTTCCGTAAGTGTAGAGTATATTATATTCCTGGAGGGACGGCCTTTCTCTTCCGTTAGAACGTGAAGTTCGACGCCGACCTACACGTCCGCCTCCAGGTATCTCGGCCAATGGGGCATCGCCCTACAAAAGCTACAAGTTACCATCTGATCTCTTGGTATGCGTGGTAGAACGGTTCGTGTAAGTGTAATTGCGTGTGCGTGTGTGTGTGTGTGTGTGCGCGCGCGTGCGTGCGTGCGTGCGTGCGCGTGCGCGAAAGTAAGAAGGAGACGTCGAGGATAGGGAAAGATAGTGGCCTGTTGTTAGGATACTTCTCCGTTATTCGCTTCGTATTGTTTAGAGATATCACGGACAAACACCGATCAGAACAGCCTGGTGCTTGAAATTTTTATCCGTGTACCGAGCCATT